TGGACAGACTTGGGGAGCAGGCATCCAGGATGTTCCTGGAGCCCCAGGTAGGGCTTTTGTGTGTGACATTCAGGGTGGAGGGTCCTGGAGGTGGCAACAGGGGCAAGACTACCCACCCTACAGCCAGGTGGCATCACCCCTGGGAGAGTCCCGGGTTCGGGAGAGGTCTGGTCTGGAGGGCTAATTTGGAGCCTGAGCTTGCTCCACCCTTGGGGAGCAGGCATCCAGGATGTTCCTGGAGCCCCAGGTAGGGCTTTTGTGTGTGACATTCAGGGTGGAGGGTCCTGGAGGTGGCAACAGGGGCAAGACTACCCACCCTACAGCCAGGTGGCATCACCCCTGGGAGAGTCCCGGGTTCGGGAGAGGTCTGGTCTGGAGGGCTAATTTGGAGCCTGAGCTTGCTCCACCCTGTGGGCCCCCTGCCACTTCCTGGCCACACTGCCTACACCTGTTACCTGCTGGCTAAGGCCAGCCTGGCCCTGGGCCTGGCCTGTCCAAGCACCACGCTCCCATCTTGCTGGGCTTCCTGCAAGGAGATGGGAGGCCCTTCAGTGAGCTTCACCTGGAGAGGCTAGCAGAGTGAGGGAGCCGCTCCTCAGGTATGACTTGGCTGCTGTGTGCCTTGGGGGCTGGCTGAGGTGTGGGAGCCAGGGGACAGCACCACCTGCAGGTCGCATACCCATCAGGCCAGGGCCCACAGTCTTCCAGGGCTGAGCAGCCTGGGAGGCCCCTTTGGGGAGAGAACCACACATTGGCTTTGGGATGGGCAGGGTTTGACTTGGGCGCAGGATGGAGCTGTGGTACCTGTGGAAGCTGCCTGCACCCTCCACACCTCTGGGCTCCTTGGACTTCACCCTTCAGGGTAGCTGCGGGAGAGTGACCAGAGGAGGGCTAGGTCTGTCGGGACTGGGGTGTCAGCCTGGAGACCTGTGATGTTGCCCTGCTTTCCCTTCGCTTAACCCACTGGAAAACTCCTGGTTATCTTTAGAAGCCCATCTAAAAAATCACTTCCTAAAAACAAACAAAAATAAATAATCACCTCCTCCAGGCAGCCCTTCCTGCTTTCTCTTTTTAGCATTAGTTCTCCCCTGTGATGTTGCCCTGCTTTCCCTTCGCTTAACCCACTAGAAAACTCCTGGTCATCCTTAGAAGCCCATCTAAAAAATCACCTCCTAAAAACAAACATAAATAATCACCTCCTCCAGGCAGCCCGTCCTGCTTTCTCTTTTTAGCATTAGTTCTCCTGCCCTTGTTTCTCCTCAGCACCCAGCAAAGACCCCTAATCCCAAGTTGCTCACACTGCACTGTGGTGTTACAGTTGTCTCCCCTGGCAGACACTGAGGTCCCTGGGTTCTATTTCCAAGTGTGAGGCACAGGTCAGCAGGGCCCCGTGGGTGTTTGGTCACTGAATAAGTGAGGGAAGAAAGGAAAGAACAAGCCCGTCGTCAGGAAACAGCGTGTGGCCTGTTTCTGCCTAGTTCTGCCTCCTTGGTTTACACACAGGGAAACCAAGGCGCTCAGGGCCCAGCTTGCCTGAGTTCAGCCAGGGGTCAGGGGTCAGAGCTTGCAGCAGCACCAGGAGCAGGGGAAGCCCACATGCATTCTGGGACAGGCTGACCCCAGAGCCTGCTCTCCCTTGGGCCCCGGGCTGGGAACATCATCCTTAGAAGAGGGAGAGCAAGTTCCTAAAGGAGGCTGGACATCTGCAGGGCCCAGCCCAGAGGGCGGAATGGTGCAGTGTCTGGGCCAGGAAGGAGGCTACAGGCCGGGTGGCAGACCTGGGTGACAGAGCAGGCCACTGGGGGAAACGGGTCCCCGGCCAATGGCTGAGGGCCCAGCCCAGAGGGCGGAATGGTGCAGTGTCTGGGCCAGGAAGGAGGCTACAGGCCGGGTGGCAGACCTGGGTGACAGAGCAGGCCACTGGGGAGAACGTGTCCCCGGCCAATGGCTGAGAGACCCACGGCGCCAGGGGGACCCAGGGCCAGCAACATGCAGGCACCTGCTCACACATGCCCCTCCCTCACGGCCACTGGAGTGAGCATTACAGTTTCTGCTCCCCGTGGACTCAGTGGGAACGTCTCTGGGGATGGGGAACCCTGTACCCAGGGGAGACAGGTAGGGAAGCTATTTATTTTTTTAAATGTATGTTAAGTAATTGATAATTGAACTCTCTCATTAGCTGGAACAGATTTTCAGTTTGGATTCCTGGGAAAACCCAATAAATTAATCCCATTACAGCACATAAGATACAGTCTACCTCTCCATTTCTAACGTATTTTTTATTTATTTTCTGTGTTTTCCAAAAGGTGCAGAGCAACATTAAATAATGACAGTTGCCTTGGCTTGCTTTTATTTTAATGAGAGGGCCTCTAATGTCCTACTGTTAAGTCTGAATTTGGCCTTAAATTTCAAGTAAATATTCTTCTTCCCCTGTACCCAGGGGAGACAGGTAGGTAAGCTATTTATTTTTTAAAATGTATGTTAAGTAATTGATAATTGAACTCTCTCATTAGCTGGAACAGATTTTCAGTTTGGATTCCTGGGAAAACCCAATAAATTAATCCCATTTCAGCACATAAGATACAGTCTACCTCTCCATTTCTAATGTATTTTTTATTTATTTTCTGTGCTTTCCAAAAGGTGCAGAGCAACATTAAATAATGACAGTTGCCTTGGCTTGCTTTTATTTTAATGAGAGGGCCTCTAATGTCCTACTGTTAAGTCTGAATTTGGCCTTAAATTTCAAGTAAATATTCTTCTTCATGAACAGTACGCTCCATTCATACATTAATCGCCAAGAGTGTACACCAAGAATGGATATTCATATGCAGTTTCATCAAAAGCTTTCCTGTGCTCAGCAAAACCATCCCATTTCTGTCTCCGTGGGCTTGT